CGGGCCGGCGAGGCAGCCATTTCACAGTTGGCACAGAGGAGCGTGCTGTGCAGAGGACGCGGGAGGGATCCCCGGCTTCCTCAGATTAGACCACATTCTTTAGAGAAGTGAGGAAATGAGAAGCAGAAGCGCCAGCACAGTGTCGAGCACATAGTAGATACATGCTCTGAGCACGTCAGCCAGTGCCAGATGTCTGCAAAGTGTGTAAAGAGGGGCCCGAACGCCGCAGTGCTCTCAGGCCCCCACAGAGGCCGGCAGCGCCACACCCACGGCGTCTCCGGAGTGCCCTCTGCTGGCCGTCCCTTCTCGCGCGCATGCGCACGTTGTGGCTGCTTCGCTTCCCGTCCTGTTTGGCCCCGGCCGCGTGCCGTCCTGAATTCCGCTGGTTGCCATAGAGACCGGTGAGCGCTGTACCCGAGCGCTGTGGGAAGAGCGGCTGTGACCCGTGGCTACTGTGGACCATGTCTTTCCGCGACCTCCGCAGTAAGGCAGCCCCGCCCCCTATGGTCTGTGGGACTCCCAGAGACTCGGGGCTCCGCCCCGCCGGGTCCCCTGAGCGCCCCGCTGAGGCTCGCGCCGCTGGGAGTCCCCTGCGCCCCGCTGCTCGCTCCAGGCCGAGCGCCCAGGCCTGCCCAGCCGCACCTTCGGCGATGGTAGAACGTTCTCCAGCTGCTCTGGCTGCGTGTGGCTGCAGAACGCTTAAAATATGGCCAGTGCGGGTGGAGAACTGAATCTTAAATTTTGTCTCATTTTAACTCATTTCTATTTACATAGTTACATGGCGTTGTTAGTTACGGTATTGGAAAATGCATGGAAAATTCAGAGACTATTTTTCGAGTTGGGTTAGCTGAGCACTTAGAGAAACGAACAGCAACAAACCTGAGGAGGGGGCTGGATGATGATAACTTTTTTTTAATTTTAACGATCTGCCAGGTACTGTTCTATTTGTATTATTTCACTTAATCCTTTGGACAACTCTGTACCCCCTGTATTTAGAGATGAGGAAACGGGCACAGAGAGGTCGAGTAACTAGGACAAGTGACACAGGTAGTGAGAGGTGCCACTGGAGTTTGGATCAGGTGTCTGAACTCTGGAGTCTGCATCCTTTCCTTAGGGACTGAGGAGGAGAAGGGAGATCGAATACCTTTGCTGGGAGGCGGGGGAAGTGGCAGAGTGGGGCTGAGAGCATTAGTTACTACTCCTTTGTGGGCCACCTGTTGAACACCAGGCTTTTTACATTAATATCTTATTTTCGTCCTCATTTTAACAGAGATGTGGTATGATTTGTGCATGAAATACTTTGGGGCACAGTGAGGTAAAGTAGCTTGCTCTAGGTCTCAAAGCTAGAACTGGGTGGAACCATGGATTAAGACAGGATTGTGTGACTCAAAAATCTCTTGCCTTGTATACATCATCATTTTCTGCATCTGAAGCACTTAAACTAACTGGTTCCACCTGGATAGGAATAGAAAGTGATTGCCAATTTGGTGTGCCCTGAGAGGCCCCTTTAAAGCCGATTTTCTCACCAAATTGCTGGTGCCTAAATTGCTCTTTTTCTACAGTGTAAATGTCTAGGAAGATAGCACGTTTTATTGATGCAGCTACTAGCTAAATGGTGTGAATGATGTCCTCTGGGACTTTTTTTCTTTTTTGTTTTTTTTTTTTTTGGAGACTGAGCAAGTGCAGGGCATCATCCTAGCTCACAGCAACCTCAAACTCCTAGGCTCAAGCGATCCTCCTGCCTCAGCCTCCCGAATAGCTGGGACTACAGGTACCAGCCAAGACACCTGGCTGAATTTTCTATTTTTAGTAGAGACAGGTTCTCACTCTTGCTCAGGTTGGTCTCAAACTCCTGAGCTCAAGTGATCCTCCCGCCTTAGCCTACCTGAGTGCTAGGATTACAAGCATGAGCCTCTGCGCCTGGCTGTCCTCTGGGATTTGAGGGTTCTTGGTGACTATACATTGTGCAAGACAGATGTCTCCTCCCACATAGTTTTTAGAGAGGCCAGCACTCTGCTAGGGGCTGTTGAATGGAGTTGTGTTGGAAAGAGTGCACAAGAAGGGAATTTCAGAATATTTTGACCTTAAATGAATGCCATGCAACGTATGGTGAGACTTTCACTCAAATTGTCTCCATTTTGACAATAATACTGCAAAATTAACAGAACTTGATTAATACTTAGCACAAGAAGCATTTAAGCAATGGCTGACTGTGTGATGGAAAGGCCGCTGCTTTAGTTTCTCTCTTTATTCAAATTTCCCAAAAAACAGTCACAGAGTCCCTTTGTGACTTTGCTCTTTCCTGTGCTCATACCTTCTCTTCCGTTATATGATGAAATCTGACCTAACTTGCAGAGTCCTGGTAGGTTATTCATGAATGTCAATGGGACATTTTGAACATCCATCTTTAGGAAGAGTGCAGACAGATGTTGCCAGGAAGTACACTGAATATAGGTCTTGGCACATCATGGGAACTCGGACAATGTTGTGTTTGTTTCCAAGTCCTGCTTTCCTGAAAGTACTGTAGCTTTTCCTGAGGCGACCCCAACCTGCAGTATTAGCAAGTATTAGTATTACTATTTCTTAATCTGTTTCACAGTAAATCTAAATATTGCTCTGTAGTTCAACCACTCTCTTTAAGATTTCTCTAAATACAAGGCAACTAATCTTTAAATTTTGTGCTTTTAAGGCTGTATATGCTCACACACACACAAAAAGACAGAAACATGAACTTCATCCTTCCTACCCCCCAAAATAACTACTATTAACATTTTAAAATATTTTTTCTTCCTGCCATTTTATAAAGCCAGGTATTTCTAATTTCACATGGTAAAGAGAAATGAGATACACAAGAGAAAAATTAAATTCACAACTAATCCCCACATCCCATTTATCACGTATAGCATCTGCTTCTCCATGGAACTGAAATAGATGTTTTTCAGGGAGCAGAATAGGTGTTTTCAATTTTATCTCCTTTTTGCTTTCCCTCTTAGAGAGTTGATAACTAGTCCTTCAAACTGTCAGGTTGGGAATAAGAAGGGAAAGCAAAGATAATATCTACGTTAATAAGTAGTTGCTGTGTGACGAGGAACCGACTGAATTGTATTTTGCCTTGGACAGACTTCACAGAGATGATGAGAGCCCTGGGTTACCCTCGACATATTTCTATGGAAAATTTCCGCACGCCCAATTTTGGACTTGTATCCGAAGTACTTCTCTGGCTTGTGAAAAGGTTAGAACTGCGCTTTATCGGAGTCTTAGAATGAATACTAGAATTTATTGATTAGTCACCTAGAAACAGGCTACTGTTGTGATGCAAAAGGAATAGTTCAATAACATTTTGGGTTTGACAGACTCATTTGTAACCTGTTATAACTCAGCTGAGCTTAAAGAGCACTGTGGGAGTGGGAATATAACAGGCAGTGAAGAAAGGCTCCTCTTCATGCCCTCGCCACAGAGTGACAGGGACCTCCCTGCACACATTCATCAGTACCCTGGATTAGAAATAATTTAGATTTCTTTTCGTGTGAAAAATGTAATATTCTTCGTTGGCAACTTTTTCTGTTAAGGGCCATATAGTAAATATTAATATTTTACATGTTACACATAATATTCAGAGACTACGTAAGATCTTTGTCACATATTCTTCTTTGTTCTTAAAATGTAAAAATAATGTTGAGCTAGCGGGCTGTACAGGTCGAGTGCTGCAGTCTGCCGACCCCTGGTGAATTATCAGTAACTTAAAGAAAGGAAGTGAACTTCAACAACTCTGCTGCTTCTGAAAGCTAGCTAGTTAGCCTTAGCATTTATCTCTGAGTCAAGAGGTCTCAGCCAGGGTGACAGTTCTGATTATTTTTATGAAACTTTGAGGTCTGAGATAGATTTAATTTTGTAAGCTGAGCTCCACATTTGGTTTTGGAAATCAGTTAAACCTGTTCGTAGGTGGGGATTTGCTCCCTTGATATTTGGTGTTGCTTTTGAAGTTTTTCTTAATCTTACTACCTCAGCTGGGGACTTGGAGAGTTTCCTGTTGTAGACCCACTGTCCTCTTGCTTGCCCTTTTCTCTTTAGTGGATTTTTTTTTTTTTTTTTGAGACATAGTCTCTCTCTGTTGCCCGGGCTAGAGGGCTGTGGCATCAGCCTAGCTCACAGCAACCTCAAACTCCTGGGCTCGAGCGATCCTCCTGCCTCAGCCTCCCGAGTACCTGGGACTACAGGCATGCGCCACCATGCCCGGCTACTTTTTTCTATATATTTTTAGTTGTCCAGCTAATTTTTTCTATTTTTTTAGTAGAGACGGGGTCTCGCTCTTGCTCAGGTTGGTCTTGAACTCCTGAGCTCAAACAATCTGCCCGCCTCGGCCTCCCAGAGTGCTAGGATTACAGGCGTGAGCCACCGCACCCAGCCTTTAGTGGACTTTCTACTTGATTAATTTGTGTTTTTCTCTCTCTCTCTGATAGGTACGAACCTCAGACTGACATCCCTTCTGATGTTGAGACCGAACAAGACCGAGTTTTCTTCATTAAGGCAATTGCCCAGTTCATGGTTAGTTGACAGTTATTTTGTGGAGTTGTAAAATTAAATAAAGTGGAAACGGCCAAGTCGTAGTTCGGGCTGCTTTCAAATTGAGTAATCGCATTTGCTTTCTAAAACTGTTCCGTTGCCAGGTTTCTGGCAAAGCCTTTTTGGTTTTTAATTTGTTATTTAAGAATTTTGTTTGTTTATTTTTTGAATAGATAATATATTTCATGGTTCAAAAATAAAAAATATCATGAAACAAGATAGAGTAAAATGACTTTCTATGCTCTCTGCCATCAGCCCAGTTCCATTCCCAATAACCACTATTTTAAATTTATTCTAGCGTTTCTTTCTACATATATAAGCAAAGAAGAGTATACATTCTTTTTCCTTCCTTTTACACAAATGGTAGCATACTGTTTTGCATCTTGCTTTCTTTACTCAATGGTATATTCTGGAGAACTTTCCAAATACAATTTCCTCATTCTCTTATACCTCAGTAGTGTTGCTTTCATGGATATATTGTAATTTATACAATTTATATAGGTAGGCATTTAGGTTGTTTCCAACTTTGCTCTTTGAAACAATGCTGTAACAAATAACCTATACATATTTTGTTTTTGTGGGAGTACATACCTAGAATAAGTTCTTATGATTGGAATTGCTGGGTCAAAAGATGTGTGCATTTGTGATTTTGATGTCCTTTACCAGATTGCTCTCCATCAAGAGTGTACCAGTTTACACACCCACTCACACCGTATGAGTCACATGGATGCTGTACTCTTAATACTGTTAGGTTATATCCCAAATGTCGACAGAGACATTTTCAATTCGCCTACATGGGATTATGGGATTTGATTTAGACGTTACATGGAAAGGTCCTTGAACTTTTTTTTTGTCTAAAATAGGCCACCAAGGCACATATAAAACTCAATACTAAGAAGCTTTATCAAGCAGATGGGTACGCAGTGAAAGAACTACTGAAAATCACATCTGTCCTTTACAATGCTATGAAGACCAAAGGGATGGAGGGCTCTGAGACTGGAGAGGAAGATATCAGCAAATTCAAGTTTGATCTCAGCTCGAAGGTGAGGACAATGAAAGGCTGTAGTGAGGGGCAGAGTGTTTATTCCTCAAACTCTGAAACGGAAAGCGTCGGTTACTCACGGCACTACTTCTTTCCTTACTCCTTGACTGAGGGCGATTTGTCACTATCAGCGTTTGGATAAAAGAAAGCCACAATACATTAATTCCACTGCTGAAAGCCGGGTATTTGCCAGGTAGTGTTCAAGCACTGGGGATACAGGTGTGAACAAAAGGGACAGAAATTGTGTGTTCCTGCTGCTGTGTTGGCGGAGTGAGCCTGCGAACAGCAGTGCAAAGGTGTGGAAGGTCAGATGCCGTAAGTGCTGTGGAGGATCACAGAACAGGGTGGGTGGAGGGAGCGGGGGCGGGTGTCATATAGGGTGACCAGGGTTGGACAGTGTTTTCAGCAGAGACCCGAGGGAGGGAAGGTGGGGGTGGAAAGAGTGTCCTGTGATGGGAATGTTGTTTTGTGTGTTGGAGGAACAGAACAGCAAGGAGGCTGTGTGATGAGAGCCAGCAGGAAGGTAGTGACAGACCCTCAGGCACCTGGAAAACTTTTGCCTTTTACTCTGGTAGAAAATTGTTGGGTTTTGAACAGAGACCTACATGCTTAGAATTTCCTATAAAAAGGATCACTCTGGCTGCTGGGTTCCCATCACACTAAAGGAGGGCGGTGCAGGGGGTTAGAAAGCAGGGGTGACAGTGACTGTGAGCAGTGGTGTCGGGGGTGGGGTGGTGTCAGGAGTTCAGTGGGCTGTCAGGTGTCAGAGGAGCCAACCAACAGCAGCCAGCGAAAAATGAAAGTTAAGCCTTTAACCACTTACTGTGATGGTATAAGCAAGACTCTAAAACTGGAGGAAGCACCGACTCCTCCTGTTCCATTTTCCCCCATGGAACGGCCACAAGTCGAGGGTCAGGTGGATCCATGCAGACATGGGGTCGTCCCAGTATTGAGGGAGCCCCCAACCAGAGGCGCCGGCAGTTTTATGGACTCTGAGTTGGGGAGAAGGCTGGGGGAAGGACTAGAAGTGGAAAGTCCTGGGTCCTGAATCAGGGTGGGAAAGGTGTCTTCAGGGTCGCCCCTCCTCCCCATAGGGAGGCCTCGGCCCAAGCCTCAGAGGACCTAGGAATGCAGGCACCAAGGTAGGCCAGAGGGACCACATCTGCGACTGCAGTTCCCTCCCAAGTGCAGGGCACTGGCTGTGCCTCAAGGCTGGCATGGGGTGGGCAGCTTCCCCGAAGAGGCTGCCAGGCACAGCCTTGACATTACCTATGGCCGGGCCTGAAAAATCACATGTGGCTTTTTAACGAGGAGCCAGACTCCTGAGCAAGAGAAGTGGCTCGATGTTAGGACGTATTTTGACGCTAGATCTCATGGGATTGGATGAGGGTTGAGAGCAGACGAGACAATACAAGGAAGATCTTGAAGCAGCACTGTGCGGTTGCACTGGCCGTGCTGGTGGGCGAGCTCCGTGTCTGTGCTGTGCTCTGCAAAACCACTGGCCACATGCGGTGAGCACAACTGAGGAACTGAGTTAATTTTATTTAATTTTTAGATAATTTAAGTGTGAAAATGGCCACATGTGGCTAGTGGTTCCTGCATTAGACATCACAGCTCTAAAGTTGTGGGCTGAGCACCTAGAAGGATGAAGTTGCCATTTGCCAAAATGGAGAAGTCTGGAAGCTGGTAGGTTTGGTGGGGAAGATTAGGAGTTTGGTTCTGGATGTGCTGTGTTTGCCATGCCTGTTGGAATGTCAGGTGGAGATGCTGAACAGGAAGTTGGTGTGTGAGACTGGAGCTCAGGGGAGAGCCGGCTGGCGCTGGGGGCTGGGAGGCATAGGCACGCAGGCGGTGTTGAAGCCGGGAGGTTAGGGGAGTGCCAGTAGAAAAGAAGGGAAGTCCGGGGACTGAAGTCTGGCACTCTCCACTGTTGGCAGGTGGGGAAGGTGAGGAGAAACCTGCAAAGAAAATGGGATTTGCTGCCGGGAAGCGGGGAGAAACAGCTAGAACTGGAGGGAGCTGTATCCTGGGGATGAGGTGGAGGAGCTGGAGCAAGCAGTGCCCTGGAGGACTAAGGAAGTGGGAAGAAAGTTGTAATTACAGCACTTTGGGTGGCCGAGACAGGAGTTTGAGACCAGCCTGAGCAACATAGCAAGACCCCGTCTCTACAACAAAAATATTAAAAAATCAGCTGAGCATGGTGGTACGCGCCTGTAGTCTCAGCTACTCAGGAGGCTGAAGCAGGAGGATCGCTTGAGCCCATGACCACACCACTGCACTCTGACCTGGGTGACAACAGCGAGACCCTGTCTTTAAAAAAAAGAAAAGGGAAGGAAATGAAAGAGAGAAGGTGGGGATTAGTTGTTTAGGAGGGAGAGAGAGTAAGTGTGGAGCAGGGAGATACTTACGTTTGGGCACTTTGGAAAATTTGGTATATATTCAAGGCAGAGGAGGTGACATGCGCATCCTAAGAAAGAAGCCTGTGCAAAGGGCTAGGTGCTAAATCGTCGTCATGGTTGTCATCATCGCCTTCCTGGCAATAGCTCCCCCACCGCGGGAGCCCAGAACTGCTGTAAGTACTTAGTGGGTACTGCCCCATTTGAGCCTCACAGCAACCCTGTGGAGGAAAGTCCAAGGCAGAGGAGGAGGGGACAGGGGAAGATTGAACATAGGGCATCGGGATGCCACGGTAGGACATGTGTCCCTCAGGTTGCCCCTTCCTTTGGTCGCTGCACTGCTGTCAGGGTACCCTGTTGTGACCTAGTCCAAACAGGAAGCATGTCAGCTTTCTCCTACCCATGACTCCTGGTCGTGGGTTCAGCTTGACTTGACATTTGGTGTTTCAGAGAGACCCAGGTGTCTTGGAATTGGTCTCATTCGCGCTTAGAGCATTGCTTCCTAACCAGGTGTCCTGGGGGCGCTCTTCTGCAGCACGTGAGTGCTGACTGCGAAACGCAATCTTTAGTCAGGTGTCCCGACTGGAGGTACGACTTGACATTAACAGACTGGTGATTGAATGCCTATTAAAAACCTGCTACTGAGGTTTCTGTTTTTGATATTTTCCTTCCAGATCGCAGATTTGAAAGCAGCCAGGCAGCTCGCATCTGAAATCACCTCCAAAGGAGCATCTCTGTATGACTTGCTGGGCAAGGAGGTAGAGTTGAGGGTAAGCCGCGTTCAGATAAAATAATTACTTTCTTAGCTATGCACATTTTCTCTTCAGGGTTTTCTTTTTCAATCCTGTTCTCCCTTTTCAGTTCTTCTGATTTAATTAAACATACCTGATTAAATGAGGTAATGTGTGGGAAAGCGATATAGGCCACTAGCTGCTTTTCCTCTAGTGAGCACTCATCCGCCGGTATTAATGCCTTTAGCTCCTAGTTTAGGAATGGCAGTGTGTGGCACATGGCTGAAACTGTCCCCCTCGTGTCCATGGTAGATTTTATTGATCATGATGCTTTTTTCTGGTGTTTCTAGTCTCAGAACTCTTCTCAAAAGTGCTCTTCTCTGAGCTCGTGGTTCCCAGACCTTGCTGCCCAGTGGAATCACTGGGGCATCTTTAAAAACTCCCGAATCCTGGCTTGCCTTTTTTTTTTTTTTTTATTTCAGCATATTATGGGGGTACAGATGTTTAGGTTACATATGTTGCCCTTGCCCCCCCCAAGTCCAAGTTTCAAATATGTCCATCCTTTGGGTGGTGCGCATTGCACTCTTTGTGTATGCATATACCCTTCCCCCCCCCCTCCCCCCTGCCCAACATCCAATAGATGTTATTCTTATATGTGCACTTATGTGTTGATCAGTTAATACCAATTTGATGGTGAGTACACGTGGTGCTTGTCTTTCCATTCTTGGGATACCTCACTTAGTAGAATGTGTTCCAGCTCTATCCAGGAGTATACAAGAGGTGCTTTATCACCATTGTTTCTTAAAGCTGAGTAGTACTCCATGGTATACATATACCACATTTTATTAATCCACTCACTGGCTTGCTTTTTTGTATTTTTGGAGACAGGATATTGCTGTGTTGTCCTGCTGGAGTGTGATGGCGCAGTCACAGCTCACTACAACCTTAAACTCCTGGACTCTACCAGTCCTCCTGCCTCAGCCTCCTTAGTAGCTTGGACTACATGCATCTGCCACCATGCCCAACTAAATTTTTTTTTTTAAGAGATGTGGTCTCACAGTGTTGTCCAGGCTTATCTCAAACTCCTGGGCTCAAGTGATCCTCCTTCCTCAGCCTCCCAAAGTGCTGGGATTACAGGTGTGAGACACCCTATCTGGCCTCAAGCCTGGCTCTCTGATATCATTGTTACAGAATGTGACCTGGGCATTGGGAGTTCTCAGAGTCTCCTGGGTGATTCTCACATACCGCAAAATTTGGGATCATTGTTATCTTGGCAGTCACTCCAAGTCAGCTGAAATCCATGTTGCAGTGGAAACTTATTTGCAATCCTTATTCTAGCAAGTGCCACCCAGGGAGTACGTGCCATCCCCTACATTTAAGCAGCTGTTTAAGTGTGTGGTTCCTAAACTTTGCTGAACGTTAGACTCACCTGATGTCCAGGTTTTCCCCATACCAATGAATCAGAGTGTGTGGGACTGAGAACCAAGCATCAGGTTTTTAAAGGTTTCCAGTTGATTCCAACGTGAAGCAGAGTTTGGGAACCACTGGTTTAAGAAGAAATGGAGTAGTGTTTAATCCTACCTGTAAGTATTTTTGGCATTGAAACATACACGGTCGATCTAATGTTTTAAAATTAAGTGAATTTCATTCATTCACCTCCTATCAGGTATGTCAGGCATGACTGCGCACTCGCACACACGCTCTTCATGGCCTTGCCTGTGTTCCGGCATTGCTGCCATGGTGTAATGGCACTTTTCCTCTTGATTTACATTTCCCCTCTAAGAGCAAACTGGAAGTGGAGGTCTAGGGAAGAGGGACTTGGGTGCCAGGTCCCCATCCCTGCTCTGCATATATTACCCTAGTGGTTGCCACCTGGTGAAGGGGGGTTGGCAGAACAGAACTGCCACTAACATCTGCTAGCTAATTCACATGACTAATGAAGCAACTCCAGGCTTTCCCTGATTTCTGTTTGTAGTGCAGTAGTGTACATGTGTCTATACATGTCTCTAAGAGACCCAGAGACAGGAGCGAGTCACTTGCTAATTGCCAGTGGGGCTGTGCATCATTGTGAGACTTCACCAGCGTTCTGCCGGGGCTCTTTCAGCACTTTCCTGTAATGATGAAGAAGTAATGAGTGGCTGAACTGTTCCCAGGGAAACCATGAGACCCTGAATACAGCACCTCTCAAATTCTGTACAGTCATGATCTGAGGAAGGGCCCTATCCAATATTTGTTTTTCATACACTCAATAAACATTTATTGGAAACCAGCACCAACCACAGGCAAGGCACTGACCTCTGCCTCCCCAAGTAAGTCGTACTCCCTGCCCTCAGTAGTTTGCCACAGTGGGGGAGATAAGGTACGCCACAGAACAAAGGGAGCACCGGCTGGATTTGATAAAATGCTCCAGGAACCTTGTCTTCATCCATTGAGCCTGCTATAACAAAATACGATAAACTTTGGAACAAGGCAAGGGTACCCTCCAAAAATAGAATAAATTAGATGGCTCGTAAACAACAGAAATTTCTCACAGTTCTGGAGACTAGCAAGTCCTAGATCAAAGTGCTGGCAGATTTGGTGTCTGGTGAGGGACCATTCCTCATGGACAGCGCCGTCTATCTGTGTCCTTACATGGCAGAAGGGATGAGACCCCTCCAAGGTTCCTTTAAGGTCACTAATCCCATTCATGAAGACTCTACCCTAATGACCTAAAGGACTCACCTCCTAATACCATCGGTTTTTAGGTTAGGATTTCAACGTATGAATTTTGGGGGGACACAAACATTCAGGCTATAGCAAACCTCATAACTGCGTCTACATTAAAATCGCATAGGTCATAATTTTCCAGTGCTCATATGATAGTCACAGATGCCTTCCATGATTGGTTAATGGTAAATGCTAGGGGCGGGACCAGTATAGCTGTTCTCATCAATTGTTTGTCAGTGATTTGCAATATAGAGGCACTGAATCATAAGAAAGATTGTAGAGGCCGTCGGGATTCGGACAGCAAGTTGTCCTGTGCTTAGTTTGGGAGTCACCTGTTTGGAATGCAGATAAGGAAACAAATTTGGGAGAAAACGTAACAGAGTTACGTTCAGTTACATTCAGCTGAGTTCAGTTTTGCCCATGGAGATAGGGGCACTTAGGCCTCTAACAGAAAAGGAGGCCCCCAGGTCTGGAGATAGGCCAGATAAGTAGTCAGGTTATGGAAGACGTTTGTAGGAGAGGTGATGGCAGGAGGGTTTTTGCATCAGAGATCCACATTGTGATAAAACTTTTGAAGATCAGTCCATAAGCTATATCTAGTTCTAAGAATATTGGTTTTGTGAACTCGTTTTCTGAAAATATATGTAAATAATTTTATTGTTTTCTCTAGGAAATGAGAACAGAAGCCATTGGCAGACCTCTGGAAATAAATGAGACTGAAAAAGTGATGAGAGTTGCAATCAAAGAGATTTTGGTAAGATTATTTAATGTCTTTATGCCTGGGACTCAAAAATACCAATTTCCTGCCTGCACAAGACAGAACACACTAGGCCTCTTAATACGGGATATGTTAGTAGGGAAATTAAAAATTCAGAGGACAATCTGAAGGGGGAGGGCAGCGGGAGGAGGGGGGAGGAAGGAGGAGGGGAGGGGTATTTGTATACACAAGGAGGGCAATACGCACTACCCGAAGGATGGACATATTTGAAACACAGACTTGGGGGGGAACCAAGGGCAACACATGTAATCTAAACATCTGTACCACGGGGAGGGCGGCAGGAGGATGGGGCAGGAGGGAGGAGGGGACGGGTATTTGTATACACAAGGAGTGCAATGTGCACTACTCGAAGGATGAACATATTTGAAACATGGACTTCGGTGGCGGGGGAGCCAAGGGCAACACACGTAACCTAAACATCTGTACACCTATAATTTGCTGAAATAAAAAAATAAATAAATAAATAAATATGAAAAAAAAAAATAGAATATCTAGGTTACTACTATTGTTTTTCCCCTTGTTATAAACAAGAACAATTTCTCATGTTATTAAAAATTCAGTTTTAATTTGATAATTACTTTTCATTCTTTAATAGTTTTAATAAATAATGCTCTTATTTAACCATTTCTTCACTGCTGAGCATTTGAATGATTTCCAGGTTTTCTTAATTCAGAGAGACTCTAATAAACAGAATGATCACCATCCTTCACTCCTCACCCACCCTCAACTGCTACTCACGCCTCTCCTCTAAAACATTTGGGTGGAAGGCAGATGACAGACGGACGCTAACTCAGACTGCTTAGATTTGAATTCCACTGTGTGATGGTAGGCAAGTTACTTACCCCCTCTGTGCCTCACTTTCCTCATCTATAAAATGGGGAGAACAGCAGTGCCAACTGCATGGGGTCCTTATGAGCATTCATCACAATGGTACATGTCAAGCTTGGTCTCAGGCCACATGGATAGTCAGTCATCACAAGCGATTTATTCAGTAGAAAAATGCTTTGTATTGTACTCCAGTTTTTCTGTAAATTTTAATTAAAAAGTAGTGAGTATACTCTTATGCTTCCCAGCATTCTAACTGAATCCAGTGAACATGGCATGAACGTGCCCTTACCACTTTTACATTAAAAATAAGAACATCCAAAGAGGGCACAGTCAATTTCTTGGTGAATATCTCTTAAGATCTTTCCATTATTGGAAAATATCCATGATGTTTGCTAATTCTGAAAGCAAAACCAGAACACCACTGCGGGTACTTAAAAGGGGTTATGAAGTATAGGCCATGTATTTCAGGAAACCAGGGAAAATTACTTAGGTTTATATGTTGATCTTTCTTATTTGAGGAATAAATACCTTTAAAAAAGTTTTTATTTTTTAAGGTCAATAAATTCACTAGGGTTTAATCTGACTTTGATTCAGAGAAAGTCTCCATCAGCTTGAGTTGTTCAGAAAGGAGACCCACCTTTCTCCCTGTGAGAGTGAACATGTCTCCTGTGGTCTTTAAAGCACTTGCAACAAATGGCTGGTTAGTGCTATGATTATTTTGATGAAATTATCTTAGAAATTGTTAGTGTACTTAGACCAAAACAAATTAAACCATTAATTCATCATCAGTAACAATGGTTGCTTACGAAAATGCACCATCTCTGAGAATCGAGTGTCTGCACTTCTTAGGTCCTTTCTTTGTGGACCCCATAGCTTTTCAGAGACCTGCAGGAAAATAGTCAGCAACCCTTTATGGGGTGCCAACACACATGTAACGTACTGGAGGGGAAAACCCCACGGTGGCTGTCAGGAACTTAGCACCAGGCTGGAAAGTCAGCACTTGTGGAGGCAGTTCGCAGTCAGCTGGGTTACAGTCCAGATTCCTACCGCAGCAGACTGGAACTGAACCACAGGGCGTCTGGCCTGGCCAGCTTCCCAGATAAAGAAAACATGAGTATGAAGACCACAGCGCATTTCCTCACTCTACCTCCTGCTTCAAATGAACTTTCTTTCTTTCTTTCTTTTTTGGGAGACAGAGTCTTGCTCTGTCACCCAGGGTAAAGTGCAGTGGCGTCATCACAGCTCATTGCAACCTCAAACTCCTGGGCTCAGGCAATCTTCTTGCCTCAGCCTCCCGAGTAGCTGGGACTACAGGTGCGTGCCACCATGCTCAGCTAATTTTTTCTATTTTTAGTAGAGACAGGGTCTCACTCCTGCCCAGGCTGGTCTCGAACTCCTGAGCTCAAGCAATCCTCCCACCTTGGCCTCCCAGAGTGCTAGGATTACAGGCATGAGCCGCCATGCCCAGCCATGTGAACTTTCTCTTACGAGAGGATAAGAACGTCTGCGTTGTCATAAATGGTCTCTTGTTCCCTTCCCTTTCTTTACTTAGCCCCGTTGCCCAAGGGCCTCTCTCCGACTGCTGCCCAGGCCCCCTTCCAAGGGCTGACAGACAAGAGTGTGGCTGGTGCTACTGCAGAAGCTGCTTCTGTGCTGATTTCAGGGTGCTTACTCTGTTTCAGTCCAGTCTGTAGTCAAGCTTCTGTTGCCAGGGAGAGGGAAGGGGAACCTTCTTCCTCAATCCCAGCAGGCAGTGGGTTAGGGCCATGCATGTTTCTTTCTGTTTCCACTGGTAGAGCTGTACTTGTGTGTGCATTTATTCCCTAAGTCAGGTGTTTGTGACTAGCATAGCCTAAACAATGTAAAGGCAGACTAACTGGCCTGGGCTCAAGCTGTCCTCTTGCCTCAGCCTCCCGAGTATACCCCGTTCTCGCTGAGCAAGCCGGACCAACGAGCGCGGGCCTCTCTCCGTCTTGATCAGGACACTCTTCTTTCCATCTTCACTTGTTTCCCCAGGCAGAAAAACCCATTTTTTATGGGGAAAAAAATAATTCTTTCTGGATATTCTCCCTGTAATGGTTGGTTAAATATGTCATTGTTTTGGGGAGTGTTTGCTTTGTTTGCTTTTGTGCTTGTTTAGCATGATGTTGTTATGCCCGAAGAGCTGGAGTATCCCTTTCTTCAAAGAGTCAGGATGGTGGTCTTTATTGGCACATTGTCTCATTATTTCCTATTAAATGTAGGCGCAGGTTCAGAAGACTAAAGACCTGCTCAATAATGTGGCCTCTGATGAAGCTAATTTAGAAGCCAAAATTGAAAAGAGAAAATTAGAACTGGAAAGAAATCGGAAGCGACTGCAAACTCTGCAGAGTGTCAGGTAGATATGAACACCCGAAGAATGAGTGGAAAGACATCCTTGTAAGTTAGAACAAAGACTAAGAGAATATAACATGATATTAACTCTTTAAGCATGAAAAAAGCCTTATGTAAGGTTATCTCTACTTCAAAATGTCTGTGTGTTGCCTGTCACAACAAGCAGACCGCTAAACTCATTCTCTTTATTGCTTTCAATATGTCTGGAAAACTGCTTAATTCTTGAACTGCCCTTTAAGCTTTTATAGCTTCTTGGAACTCAGTGCAAAGTAAGTAAACCCAGATGGTGAAAGTTACATGAGGCTTCGTCTCCTAAGATATTGCCGTAAATCAGGTGGAAACAGAAACATACTCCTATCCTTGGTTTGCGTAGATTTTAGACTTTATTTAGACTTTGATAATTCCTCACCACTCAGTAATTCATCTTTCTTCTTATTACTACTTTGCCTCATTGGAAATGCATTTCCAAGGAATATGGATGGATAATAGTGGCACACACCACCTCCTAGGTCAGTGGAGCCTTTCAAGTGTGTCCCTCACATTTCTTGGAGCTCGCTCTTCTCTTTACTTGTTTTGTACCCTCCTTCCCTTGCTGTATCTTTGTTTTCCTTTCCCATGTGCTGCTGTTCTTTCTCCCTTTTCATTCTCCCTTCATTTTTTTTTTAATTGAGACAGAGTCTTGTTCTGTCACCCTGGTTGGAGTACAGTAGCATAATCACAGCTCACTGTAACCTGAAACTCCTGGGCTCAAGTGATCCTCCTGCTTCAGCCTCCTGAGTAGCTAGGACTACAGGTGCGCACCACCATGGCTGGCTAATTTTTTCTATATTTTGTAGAGACGGGATCTCCCTCTTGCTCAGGCTGGTCTCAAACTCCTGACCTCTAGTGATCCTCCCATCTCAGCCTCCCAGAGTGCTAGGATTACAGGTGTGAGCCCAGCCCATTTTTCTCTTTCTTGACTCCCTCCTCTTCCTGGCGACTACATCTGCTCTGAATGTGTTTTGCCTTTTTGAGGTACTGGTGCTGGTCCTCACTCTGGCTACTGCCCTGAGACCTGCAGAAAGGCAGACTGTGGTGGCAGAGGGTAACCGCAGGGAGGCAGCAAAGGTGTCCTCCCAACCAAGGGAATAGACCACCCTCCCTCCTCTTCTGAAATCAGTGCTGCCAGATAGATTTGTCTCCTTAACCAATTCTGCCTTTAAACCATAAATTCACTTTCGTTAAGCCTCAGATCCTTTTAATAGAAAAGTTTTTGTTTTGCTCCAGTTCAAAAGATTATAAATTATTTTTTAGTTTATCACTTTTATTTTTGAAAAGAATGGAGTTTTCTCTTTAAGATCATTAATAAGGAAAAGAAAGTAAAGTTCAGCAAATCAGTTGAAACAAGTTTATATGTTATGGTTTTTATTTTTTAACTTTATATTATTTAAAAACAGCTTTAATTTGTAGCAACCTATGTTTCCCTTTTTAGAGAACTGATTAAATTTTAGAATATCCAGACAGTGGAACATTATACCCAACTAAGATAATGTATATATTTACTTTATCAATTTTGAGAGAGGTGTATGTTATATGATTATTTTTAACTCATTGAAATCTATAGTATACTGAAGTTAAAAAAGACTACAAAACTTTATGGCAATATATTTAATTTTTGTTTAAAAATGCATTCTTACCTGTACCTATGCACAGAAAACTCTGGAAGGATGTATGTCATATATTAAGTGCTTATACCTAGTGATGGGATTATGAGTAATTTTTACGTCATTCTTTATACTTTCAGGATTATTTCAAGTTTTTACAAAGAGCATATCTTATTTATGATTTTAAAGAAGTATGTTCGTTTTGGTGGGAGGGAGGAGAAGAGGGCAATTAGTGTTAAGCAGTTATAAGAGTGAGGAACCTTCTCTAATTAAAGGTTTCCAAAGAAAGCCATGATGGAGTCTGGAGCTCTGAATATGAATTTCAAAACACTGTGTGTTTATTAGCCTTTCACTTTTTATTTCATTTGCTCGTTTTAGGCCAGCCTTTATGGATGAGTATGAGAAGATTGAAGAAGAATTGCAGAAGCAGTATGACATTTATCTAGAGAAATTTCGAAACTTGACTTACCTGGAACAACAACTTGAGGACCATCACAGGATGGAGCAGGAGAGGTTTGAGGTGAGTGCTCAGCCTGTTCTGTGCAGACCATTCCTTCAGTTTATAAATATCACTGAAAAAAATACCAGTAAATGTATTTTCTCCCAGGTCAGTCTGAAGATTGCTCATGTAATTCTTTTGTTTTGTTGGCAGTGTAGCCTGGACTCCAGGGTTATCAAATCTTTTTCTTTTTGGCGGGGGACAGGGTCTCACTCTGTGGCCCATGCTAGAGTGCAGTGGTGTCATCATAGCTCACAGCAACCTCAAACTCCTAGGCTCAAGCGATCCTCCTGCCCCAGCCTCTTAAATAGCTGAGACTAGAGGCATATGTCACCATGCCTGGCTAATTTCTCTTATTTTTTTGTAGAGATGGAGTCTCACTGTATTGCTCAGGCTGGTCTCAAATTTCTAGGCTCAAACGATCCTCCTGCCTCAGCTTCCCGAAGCACTGGGATTACAGGTGTGAGCCACAGCGCCCAGCCGCCACTCTTTGGTGTTATGTTTTCATCGGGGGTTAGTCAATTAGGAGTACGGACAGGGCGACACGTGACCTGTGCAGTCACGTTAGATTCTGCCCTTAGAAGGGCCTATGCTTACTTCCATGCTCTGCTGTTACTGTCCTGAAATTTGTAATCATTTTAAAGTGCATTTTATTTTGCATTGATCCCCCCAAATTACGTAAATGGTCTTGAGTACAGATCTAAAAACTTGCTTGGTCAGTTCATGTAAAGATTTTCAAGCCTTGGTTAATTGAATCATAAGCTAGCTCACTGGAGACTGCTCTGTGAAGAGGAGTGGCAGTTTATTGCTTGTGGGAAACATGTGTAACCCAGAACCTGACCAGCTGTTTGCAGTTCCTTTCAGCCCAGTAGGTAAGGCCATTTAGGGAAGAGAATTTCAGATTCCAGCGTGAGTTCACAAATGTGGAATTCAGAACAAAGAACATTGGACCAAGTTATAATCACTTTTTGAATTTCCCTTGTCTCTTGGGATATTTAGGCTTAACCCGAGAATGGTCGTTTAGAGTACATATTCATGACAAAATTGGTCTACTATCTCCCTTTCTCACACTGTCCTTGACAGCTTTTGGTAGTAAGGTTGTGCCGGACTTCTTACAAACCTGGGCGTTTGGATAAGCCAGGGCTGTTTTCTTGTCCAGGAGGGCTGACTGGGAGTAACCAACACATTCGTATGGACGAACGTCATCTTGAGAGTAACTTGTCACTAGCATTACTCTGTGGCAGAGAGGCAGGCCATGGAGAAACAGGGTACAGGACAGGCACCTTTTGAGGGCAACAGGAAGAGCCTGGAGTTTAGGACATTTTAAACATTGCATACCTGGGAAGGACAGTAAAGGGCCAGTGAAAAGAAACTTTGACCGTTTTGTTGTATCATCTGGGGCCACCCTGGGTTCAGAGAACATAGCGAAGAATATGGCTCAGGATGGCGAGTAGGTGCCCGAGTCACTGCTGAGGATGCGCCTTTGCTAGCCTGCCTTCAGCAGGTATTTATCCTCCTTTTCCCCTACACTTGCTCCTACTCTCTGTCCTTAATACCTGCTCCCTTGAAATATCCCATGCCTGAAACACAATGATTTCTTTTTAATGTTTAGAACAACAGCACAATTTTAAAAGCTGGTTTCCTCTCCGGTTCTCCCTCTTGACAATAATCAGGGCCGCATTTTATAAATGTTACCTCCTCCCGGCCCCATCACAGGAATTAAGACTAGTATTTCTTTCTTTCTCTTCTCATCTGACCTGCCCCACCATTTAGCATCTTTCAAGACTGGAATTTGAAGGCAGTGCAGGGCAGAACAATTTTAAAATCCATGCTTTGTTCTTCTGAAAGCAAGAGGTCTGTCACTGTCCCAAAGTTATGTGCATCTGTTCTTTGTCCACAGCTGTTGCAGGCACACACAGTGGGCATTTAACTGTGTCATTTGGTTCTCCTCAGAGGCAGGGAAGTGTGACAGGGCCGCTGGTGACCTCAGAGAGAAAGGGTGCCAAGTTTCGGGACCCTAGAGTTGCTTAGGCAATGTTAGTTCTCTTCCCCTTCCTTGAGGTTGGATCTTTTCTTGTTCTGTATCACAAATGTAGTAGCACTTACGCAATGGTGAAGAAGAGTAGAAATGGTCCACAGAAGGGTCATCTCTTCTGAATCTTATTTTTATTTTCACACAGGAAGCTGAAAATACTCTCCGTCTGATGCAGAACAAGCTAAAGGAAGAAGAAAAACGACTGCTCAAGAGTGGAAGTAAGGCCATACTTTGTAGACAGAGGTGTCTATTCTGGATGACATTTTTAGCCTTGAAAATTTTACATATTTAAAAAAATATTTGTATTCTTTTCATCTTCTTTTTTTTTTTTTTTTTTTTGAGACAGAGTCTTGCTCTGTTTTACCCAGGCTAGAGTGCTGTGGCATCCACCTAGCTCACAGCAACCTCGAACTCCTGGGCTCAAGGGATCCTCCCTCCTCAGCCTCCCAAGTAGCTAGGACTACAGGCATGTGCCACCACGCCTGGCTACTTTTTTCTATTTTTAATAAAGACAGGGTCTTGCTCTTCTTGCTCAGGCTGGTCTCAAACTCCTGAGCTCAAGCAGTCCTCCCGCCTCGGCCTCCTAGAGTGCTAGGATTACAGGTGTGAGCCACCGCGCCCGGCCAGCCATACTTAATTCTGATATGTCACTGACAACTTGTTATCAGCCTGCACTGATGTCTTAGTGTGTTTTGTGCTGCTATAACAATACCTGAGAGTGAGTAATTATATATTTTACGTGTATATTTTATGTGTAGTGTTGTCCCTCAGTATCTGGGGGGGATTGGTACCAGGACTCCCTGTGGATACAGAAATCCCTGGATATTCAAGCCCTTTATATAAAATGGCATAGTATTTGCATATATCTATGCATATCTTCCCATATACTTTATTATTTTTGCTCCCCCTTCCCATATACTTTAAATCATCTCTAGATTACATAAAATACCTAATATGGTGCCTACACATCACTTCATTCATGTGGATTCAACATATACTTGGCATGTGGCAAATTCTAATTTCACTTTTTGGAACTTTGTGGAATTTTTTTGTTTTCTGAATATTTTTGATCTGTGATTGGCTGAATCCATGGATGTTGAATCCACAAATACAGAGGGCTGACTGCGTGTGTATGTGTGTATATATACACATATGTATATAATATGTGTGTATTATATAATGTTAATATTAGATTATTATCATTATAAACAGAAACTTACTGAGTCATGGTTCTGGAGGCTGGCAAGTCCAAGATCAAGCGGCTGCCATCTAGCAAGGGCCTTTTTGCTGTGCCATCCCATGGCAGAAGGGCAAAGGGAGGGAGAGAGAGAGCAAAAGATCAAACTTGCAGCCTCAGGCCCTTTTATAATCAGCATCAGTCCATTCATGAGGGCTCCACCCTCATGACCTAAGGCCTCCCGTTAGGCCCCACATCCCAATACCATTGTACAGGGGATTCAGTTTCCAGCACATTTTTGGGGAGACACATAGCCATTAACTTTAGCTTACCTGCTCATTTCTCAGTCTGTATTGGTTTGAGCTGTCAGAAAAAGATCTTATCGAGCCTGAGAGGCATGTATTTCATTTTAAAATTCATTGTATCATTTGATTTGCATTGCATGGGGTAAGGATTTAATGTCATAATTATGCTGGATGAAGTAAAAAGTGAACTAAGCTGAATAGTGATTTCATTTTGTAGTTATTAATTTATGTTACTACTTAATCATATTATCTGTAAAGACTTTTGGAAATAGTGGTTTTCAAATTAATTGTGTTGAAGCCCTTGAAGGGTGCTATTATGGCCTCTCCAGCTCCCAGGTTTGCCCCTTCTGTACTATAGAGCACAGCTCTTCTCTCCAGGGCTAAAGAGAGCAGAAATCAAACCCTCCCTCAGCACCCAGCTAGAGTTAGCTACCATTCTATCCGTCTTATAGCAGGGGCAAAGAAAAGTCTCTTTTTTTTTAGAGATAGGCCCGTGCTTTGTCACCCAGGCTAGAGTACAGTGGCAAAATAATAGCTCACTGTAACCTTCAACTCCTGGGCTCACACAATCCTCCTGCCTTGGCCTCCCAAAGTGCTGGGATACGCAGGCATGAGCCACCATGCCTGGCCTTGGTTGACTAGCGATTACTATACTTCCAAACTAACTTCTGAGTCAGTAATCAGCATAGCAACTGCAGACTCCTCCAATTCCATTTCCCTAAAACCTGCTTGGCTCCCTGGGTGCAGATATGTCAGATGCCAGGCAGTAAAAGCATCCCCAACCCCCCACACTTTGGAAACTCTCCTTCTGTAAGTTCGCTTTAGGGAATATTCCACCTGCAGGCACAAGACTCAAAAAAAGTATTTAAGAAATTAATATAGGCTGGGCGCGGTGGCTCATGCTTATAATCCCAGCACTTTGGGAGGCTGAGGCAGGAGGGTCACTTGAGCCCAGGAGTTTGAGGTTGCAGTGGGCTATGATCATGCCACTGCACTCCAGCCTGTGTGATGGAGCAAAAACCTTGTCTCTAAAAAAAAAAAGAAAAGAAAAGAAAGAAAATAAAAATTAATATAAAGAGCTGTTGCACTGAAAACGACCTTTTAAAATATATATATTTATGATGGAATTTTCCCCAGTGGACAGTATCATGTGTACCAGTTTTCATTGCTGGTCACTAACGTCACCATCTCTCTGAGGACAGCCCCACTCATGCCATTCCTAGCCTGGCCCCTTGCCTCCAGTCTTGTTTCGTTATGGTCTTGTTTTATTACCTCTTTAGCAGGCTCCACCTCCTCATTTGTTATGATCTAGAAGCTTGAGTTCTGGTAACACAGCCTATCATTGAACAAAGAATGGTTTTTTTCAGCTGGGCGCAGTGGCTCACGCCTGTAATCCTAGCACTCTGGGAGGCCGAGGCAGGAGGATTGCTTGAGCTCAGGAATTCAAGACCAGCCTGAGCAAGAGCGAGACCCCGTCTCTACTATAAATAGAAAGAAATGAGCCAAACAACTAAAAATAGAAAAAATTAGCCGGGCATGGTGGTGCGTGCCTGTAGTCCCAGCTACTCGGGAGGCCGAGGCAGGAGGATCCCTTGAGCCCAGAGTTTGAGGTTGCTATGAGCTAGGCTGACACCACAGCACTCTAGCCCGGGCAAGAGAGTCAGATTCTGTCTCAAAAAAAAAAAAAAAATGTTTTTTTCCCCCAAACTAACCAAGCACATCCAGCTACCTTGACAGCTAGCTAGTTAATTTTAAAAATTCTTACAGACTATAATAATGTTTGTAACTAATACGTCTGACCAACTTTTTTCTTGTTTTGGAAAATTGATTTAAAAAAAAAAAACATAGCCCATCATCGTCTGCATTTACTCTTCACTAAGTATCTACAGGCAAATCCAGAGTCTCATAAAATCTAATGCATCAAAAGAAAGCCTACATGTAAATGACTTTTGTGCACAAGCCTTACTGGACAGAAGCTGTTTCAGTTGTAATGACAGAGCCACTCTTCTGTTTGTCTACTTGTGTTCCTGCCAGGTAACAATGGCTCAGACATAGACATCCAGGAGGATGACGAATCCGACAGTGAATTGGAAGAGAGGCAGCTGTCCAAGCCACGGACAGCCATGGAAGTACTCATGCAAGGTACCACGGCCTCTTTCACTCACCCTCCTCCTGTGCCCTGCTCACAGAATACCATGGCCAGAACTGGGTCAGGGCTGCTTAGTATTAAGGGTCACAAGCACACTGTGAATGGCCCTGGGAGTACTTCCTGCTCCAGGTTTATCCTGCCCTGTTGTTTATCAAGATTTGGCCCTTAAACTGCTCAGTGGTCGTTTTTGCTGCTAATACCCTGACCTGTGGTCCTGAGAGTAGCCGATTGATACTTGTGACTTGGGGCTTCTCACAGAGGCCATGGGAACACATTGCCTCTGCCACTGAGCTATATAATCTAACCCTTTTTGGGTCCTAAACTGATCTCAGTGCAATTATATCCCTTATGCCCACGAATTAATGCATGATGGAGGCACTTTTGTGACCATCTCTGCCTTTAAAAAAATTTTTTTCTAAAACAAAATATAAATAAATAAAATAAAATAAAATATTTTTCTAATTTCTTTCTCACTGCAAAAGATTCAAACAACAAAGCCAAGTGTAGTGGAGCACCTGCAGTCCCAGCTACTTGGGAGGCTGAGGCGGGAGGATCGCTTGAGCCCAGGGGTTCAGGGATGTAGTGTGTTATAATCACACCTGTGAACAGCTACTGCACTCCAGCCTGGGAAACATGGTGAGACCCCATCCATTAAAAAAAAAAGATACAAACAACAAAATTTGTAGAGCAAACGGGAATGCCCCTGGGGTCTTCCTCATGTCCCACTCCCACCCTAGAGCAGTCACGGCTAGTGGCTGTGGGAGGGGGTATCCTTACAAATTGCCTTTCTGTATATATACATATGCATACACACATGCACATATGCACACCCATGCACACACACATGCACATACATACCCATGCACATACAATCAAACATAGATACAAAGATCACCTGAATTTTTTTTTTTTTTGAGACAGAGTCTCACTCTGTTGCCCAGGCTAGAGTGCCATGGTGTCAGCCTAGCTCACAGCAACCTCAAACTCCTGGGCTCAAGCGATCCTCATGCCTCAGCCTCCCGGGTAGCTGGGACTACAGGCATGCGCCACCATGCCCGGCTAATTTTTTCTATTTTTAGTAGAGACGGGATCTCACTCTTGCTCAGGCTGGTCTCGAACTCCTGAGCTCAGGCGATCCTCCCGCCTCGGCCTCCTAGAGTGCTAGGATTACAGGTATGAGCCACCGCACCTAGCCTGCCTGAAAATTTTTTTAACCTAAATGGAACCAGATTGTACATATGGTTCTGCAACTTGCTTTTTTTTTTTTTTTTGAGACAGAGTCTCACTGTGTTGCCCGGGCTAGAGTGCCATGGTGTCATCCTAGCTCACAGCAACCTCCAACTCCTGGGCTCAAGCAATCCTCTGCCTCAGCCTCCCGAGTAGCTGGGACTACAGGCATGTGCCACCATGCCCGGCTAATTTTTTCTATATATTTTTAGTTGTCCAATTAATTTCTTTGTAATTTTAGTAGAGACGGGGTCTCGCTCTTGCTCAGGCTGGTCTCGAACTCCTGAGCTCAAACAGTCCGCCCGCCTCGGCCTCCCAGAGAGCTAGGATTACAGGCGTGAGCCACCGCGCCCGGCCTGCAACTTGCTTTTGTTTTTTAAAATTACATACAGTGGAACTCTTCTCATGTCAGTAAAATGTAGTTTTGCTTCATTCTTTTTAATGGCTGTATCATACTCCATAGCATGACCGTACCCATAATTTACTTGGCCGTTCTCATGTGGATATTTATTTCCACTCTTTCCCTGGTATATACATCTCTCTGCATATCTGCAAGTATTTCTTTAGGTTGCGTCATTAGAAGTGGAATTCTTTAGTCAAAGGTCCTGTACATTTGTATTTTGATAGATACTGCTAAATTGCCCTATATTTGCCTTTAAAAACATTTCTTACCTACCATCTGTTAATGTTTGGAGCACAGTTGCATTTTTATCATATATAAAAATTTAAGGAGTAAAATCATCTTTCTTTCATCATTTACATTAGCTTTTGTTATTAACTGCTTTCACTTGTTCTAGGCTCAGCTATCTCCATTGATGACATTTTACTTTTTTCATAGGATAATTAGATGCTCTGGTTTCCTTTTACTTTTTTTTTTTGAGACAGAATCTCACTCTGTTGCCCGGGCTAGAGTGAGTGCCGTGGCATCAGCCTAGCTCACAGCAACCTCACACTCTTGGGCTCAGGAGATCCTACTGCCTCAGCCTCCCAAGTAGCTGGGACTACAGGCATGCGCCACCATGCCCGGCTAATTTTTTCTATATATAATATTTTTAGTTGTCTAGATCATTTCTTTCTATTTTTTAGTAGAGACGGGGTCTCGCTCTTGGTCAGGCTGGTCTCGAACTCCTGACCTTGAACGATCCACGCGACTCGGCCTCCCAGAGTGCTAGGATTACAGGCGTGAGCCACCGCAACCGGCCTCCTTTTACTTTTAAAAAGCTTCATGGCAGAGGTTATGAATTGCGATTCCCATTTGATGGATAGGAGCCAGGGCAATAAAAAGGTGTGCGATTGGCTCAGTATAACCTAGTAAAAGCACTGGTTCTCCTAAATTCTGCTGACCGTTTAGCCTGCAGAGTAAAATCACACAGTCCATTTCCGAAAACTATAAATAAGGACTTCAGACAACACAAGATTTTGCATTTTGTCTGACCAAGGGCAAGTTTCTGTAAAGAGTGCCCAGTCATCTGTCTCCAGGTCTATCCTGAGCTAGCTTCTCTCTGTGCTGCCTTTCTCCCAAAGCCGGGACCTGCAGTCAGGGTCACTCCTTTCTCAGCTTTAGGCTATGGGTCCAGTTCTCTGTGCCCCCTCCACCCTGCCCCTGGTAAAGGACAGCTGAGTTTTTGCAGAAATCACATCCAGTCTTTATTGACTTGCAAAGAAGGAAGAGAGAATCCCTTAGATAATGATGGTGTTTGAAAGAGGAACTAATGTTGTACTTAACATGTTTTTTTAATTTTTTCTGTTTGAAGCTCAGAGATCCAAGTCCAAGGGAGAATATATTTCTTTTTCAACAGATAGCATACCAGTTGTACTGCATGTCAGCTAGTAATGGGGTTCAATGATTTTTCTTTGAAACAGTTACAAGATGCATGTTTATTTTTGTAATTCATGATTTGCACTTATATTTTGTTGTCTGTTTCTTTTTCTCAAGTGGAAATGCAGAAAATCTATTACCGTTTGTTGACAGTTCTGATTAGTTGGATGCTACCTAAGTAAATTTTTTGGTGTAATTCTTCTTCCCAATTTTCTAAGGGAAGGCAAATCTTGAATGCTATTTCCTGCCTTATTTCCCAACGTTTTTATGATTTCTTTATGCTTTTGTTCTCAGGAGGACCCGGCAAACGAGTCATGGGCACAATGCAAGGTGGAGACTCTGATGATGATGTGAGTCCTGACCAACTCCCTATAGTGGTTCTGTGCTTTCTGCTCTCAGGCTGTCCTCATAGACTAGACCAGCTGAGTTGCTGCCAGCAGCCAGGGCACTGTCCGTTCTCAGCCTAGCCTACCGCTTGATTTATGGCAGAGTTTGGCCTCCTAAGGTGCTGGACTCTTTTCTTTGCTTGTGGATGGCTCATTTCTTTTCAAATATTGTGCTTGTTCTACTTTTTTTGCCTTCTCACTGTTCTTTCCATTCTTGCTTTCCAAAGATGGAAGCAGCACCAGCTCTCTTAGGTAAATGCAAGACTTCCAGCTCCAAGAAGCAGGTTGGTTTCTTTTTTGCCTCATCCGCTTGGTGTGTGTCAGCCTGCTGAGGGCCAGCAGAGGGCCTTTCCCCAGGAGTGATGCTTCCTCTCTCCTGGGCAGGAAGCCACTTAGAGTGGATCACAGTGCGGGATGGAATCAACTAAAGGTCCCATGCGAAGGAGAGGCAAGAGCACTGACCCAAGAGATGAGAAAAACTGTGGCTGGGGGCTTATCAGGCACCAGAACCTAGAAATGAAGGGATAATGCTGCCCGCTGTGGGCAGGAGGACCAGGCCTCTCTTCTGCTCCATTCTGGGCAAGGAACGTGGAAACAGCACTCTCCCCAGTCCAGGGGCTCAGGGAGGCTGGGCAAGAGGGCGAGACATCAGGCTGCTGGTGCCTTGAGCTTTGTTGGGTGGATAACTGACTAGAGGACTTAACCAGAGGGGAGACCAGGGGTCCTTGGCGACATCAGGTCATCAGGACTGCACTGTCTGTCACTCGGACTTCGTTCTTTATTGCAGTCCTGTGTGCTACTCAGCCCACATGGTGCAGGGGAGCTAGGCTGAGACCTGTCTCATCTGCGGCAGGTGGATGCTGGAGGCATGGCAGTAGTGGCCACATAGAGACAGAAACAGGGCCTTATGTTCTTGTGCAAAGATTCACTTACCCACGGTGCGCACTGTTACAGAAATTCACAGGAGGGAGCAGTCACTCGGGTTGCTGAGCAGGGTGCACAGAGAAGATCAGGCCTTGAATTCATAGGAGATGGTCTGTAAACAAGCAGAGAGACCACCTCAAAAATATTTTTTTTTTTTTAACAAAGTAGAGCATGGATGGTTAAATAGCTTCTATCCATCCATCGTATCCATCTAAGATGGAAGTAGAGTCTGGCTTGGGAGCTGGTGGGGCTTGGAAAGCGCCATCCGGCCTCATCCCTTAGGATTTGCTTTCACGCTTCTCGGAGTGAACTGTTAGTTGCAGCTTAGATCTCTGTGCCTTTTCGTTGCTATTGGTATCAAGCAGGCCGTGTTCATGCATCCTCCCAGGCACAGGATTCGTCCTTCACGTGTTTGCTCAGTCACTCAGCAGGTATCTGTCGAGTGCCTGTCACGTGCCAGGGACTGTTACCGATGGTGGGGAACACAGCAGGGAGTAGAAACGGGCCCTGCTCACACAGGTTCGGACAGTAGCGGTGGAGCACACACATCAGGGCGTGAGTGTTAGACGAGAAATAAACAGGTACAGGGGACTGGGAACGATATCTTTGGCGTGGCTGGGAGACCTCCGATTTGGGGGTGTTTGGGCAGAGGCCTGAGTGAAAGGAGGGAGCCACAGGGTTGAGGTGGAGTGAACTGGGTGCAGGAGGAGAGAGGGGTTCGCAGGACGCGATGACTCTGTGTTCCCTCTAGTGTGACAGGAAGGCACTAGAGAATTGTGAGCCCAGAATGGCCAAGAGCTGACCCACCTTTGAGAGAAACTAGTTAGGAGGCGATTGTAGTTGTGTAGGTCACAGGTGATAGTGGCTTAGCCTAAGGTATGGCAGCAGAGGGTGGGAAGTGGTCAGATTCTGGATATGTTTCTAGGGTTAGAACCATCAGGTTTTGTTAACTGGTTGGACGTGAGGTGTTAGGGAAAGAAATGAAGGATGCTTCGGTTGTGGTCTAATCAACTGAAAGCAGAGTTTTCATTTCCTGAGCTGGGGCCGACTTGAAGAAGGGGCTTAAGGGCAGATCAAGAATTTGGTTTTGCACATTCTGAGTGTGAGTTGCTGGGTAGACATCCACATGCCACTGTTGAGTAGCTGGTCAGAATTCAAGTCTGGAGTTCAAGGGACAGGTCTGGGCTGGAGATAGAATTTTGAGAGCTGACCCTATTTAGATGGTATGTGAGCCACAAGGATAGATGTGTTTGCTTAGGGAGAGACAGAAGAAAGAGAAGAGAGAAACCCCAAGTCTTGAGCTGCCCCTGCACTGGTCAGGGGAGGACAGGGTCAGGCCAGGGAGACCAAGCAGTGAGGGGGCACCTAGACTGCAGGAAGGGCCCTGGGGGCAGAGAAGATGGATTTCAAGGAAGAAGGGGTGATGCGGCTGGGCGCGGTGGCTCACGCCTGTAATCCTAGCACTCTGGAAGGCCGAGGCAGGCGGATCGTTCTGAGCTCAGGAGTTCGAGACCAGCCTGAGCAAGAGCGAGACCCCGTCTCTACCAAAAAATGGAAAGAAATTCATTGGACAGCTAAAAATATATGTAGAAAAAATTAGCCGGGCATGGTGGCGCGTGCCTGTGGTCCCAGCTACTCGGGAGGCTGAGACAGTAGGATTGCTTGAGCCCA